GATTTTTCATTTCTATTAATACTTGTTTTATATAATTAGTTGCTCTGGAATTTGGTGCATATATATTTAAGATTGTTATCTCTTCCTCTTCAAGTTTTCCCCTAACCAGTATGTAATGACCTTCTTTATCTCTTCTGATCATTATTTAAACTGTCAGAGAAAAAAGACAGACCACCTATAAAGGAAAACCTATCAGAATCACAGCAGACTTGTCAGCACAAACAATAAAGTCAAGAAGAGCATGGAGTGAAGTATTTCAGATCCTAAAGGAAAATAATTTCCAACCTGGACTGATGTACCCTGCAAAACTGTCCTTCAAAACTGACAGGTTTAAAGTTCACATTGTCTGCAAACAGAATAGCTACCCCTTCTTTTTTGGAGATTTCTGTTGCATGTAGTATTGTTTTCCATCCTTTGACTTTCAGTCTGTGAGTATCCTTTTGGGTTAGATGGGTCTCTTGTAGACAGCATATGGTTGGATGTTGTTTCTTGATCCATCCTGCCAGTCTATTTCTTTTAATTGGTGCATTGAGACCATTTACATTAATGGTTATAACTGTTTTATATTGGTTTATTGTTGACATGTTATCTTTTTGCTGTTGTATCTTTATCTTTCCATTCTGTTTAATTGTCTTCTTTGCTTAGTGGTTTTTTCTTAAGTATATCTACACTGTCATTCAGTATTCTTTGCAGGGTTGGCTTGGTGATTATGAAGTTCGTCAGCTGTTCTTTGTCATGGAAGTATCTTATTTCTCCATCAGTTTTGAAGGACAGTTTTGCAGGGTACATCAGTCTAGGTTGGAAATTATTTTCCTTTAGGATCTGAAATACTTCACTCCATGCTCTTCTTGACTTTATTGTTTGTGCTGACAAGTCTGCTGTGATTCTGATAGGTTTTCCTTTATAGGTGGTCTGTCTTTTTTCTCTGACAGTTTTTAATATTCTATTCTTATGTTGGATTTCTGGGATGGTGATTATTATATTTCTGGGTGTAGTTTTATTTTGGTTATGGCTATTTGGAGTTCTATATGCTTCTCTGATACTGATGTCAGTTTCCATTGTCATGTTTGTGAAATTTTCAGTGATTGCTTCTCTAAATATCCTCTTGACATCCTTTATGTTGTCCCCTTCTTTTTCATTTATCTCTATCGATCTTATGTTGTTTTTCTTTGCATCATCTTACAGCTGTTGAATTATTATTTTCTGATTCCTTGTTATTTTTAAAAGATCTTTCCTTTCCTGTTCACTAACTGCAATCTTGTCTTTGAGGTCTGAAATTCTATCTTCACTTTGTTGAGGTGGTTTTTACAACTTTCAATGGAATTTTTGGTTTCTTGTATATCTCTTTGAATCTGCTTCATGTATTCTGTTTGTTTCTTACATTGCTCATCCAGCAATTCTATCTTTTTGTTTTGTTCCTCCAATTTTTTAACTGTGTCTTCTTTAGATGTGTTCAGCATCTCTTACATTTCTTTTATCATTTCTTCTTTTACCTGGGAGATTATTTCTAGTGTGAATTCCTTTAAAGCTTCCCAGAATTGCTACTTTATTTCAGTTGCTAGTATTTCAAGTATTTCAGGTATATGGCATATATTTTCTTCTGTCTACATAGCTCCTAAGGTTTCTTGGGATGGGCTGGAGATTTGAGATTGTATTTTTGTCTTTTGTTTTGTCATTTCCCTATATTTCCATGTTTCAAGTATTATTCCAAGGCTTCTCCTGGGCCTGTTGGAAATCTTCTTCTATGCCCTTAGCTCCTGGGACTCTGGCCGCCCAGTTCCCTGGATTGAGAGAGGGTCATTGGAGGTTTGGCAGGCAAGCCCAAGACCTGTGAGTGTGGCAGGAAACTGGAAGTTCCTTGGCTGGTGGGAACAATGATCTTAAACTCCCAGGGCTTGGGATGGTGCGGGGACACTCACCTCCGGCTGCCCAGTTTCCAGAAATGAGGAAAAAAAGACTTTTTCTAAGCAGACCCTGGGTCCAGAACCAAAAGTGGAAAACGGATAAGATTTTATAAATTAAAAATAACTTTTTTAGTGCAGTAACATAAATCATAAACAACAAATAGCTACTAAAAATGTTCTTGAAATGGGGTAATAAACAAGGGGTTAATATTATTAGTATATAAATACCTAGATGAACACTTAGAAATAGAAGAAACTCTAATAAATGATAAATATGCTAAGTATTCCACCTTTTATATGGAAAACAATATCTACACAGTATGTTTAAACACTTGAATTGGCCACTGTTAATCAGAACATTGACACCCAAAAGTGACAGTAGTGGCACCTATTTACCTATAGGCATATAACCTGTAGGGACAGTGCTTTGTTCTAATATATCCTTAAATGTATCTAGCATATTTGATACAGTGTTGTATTTCTAGGAAAATGTTCTAAAAATAATCAGACAAATAGCTACAGATAGACTTATGTCCAATAGGTTTATTAATATTACCATTGTTTGTAATAGGGAAATTGTATAACAACCTATTCATCTATCATCAAGGAAACAGTTAAAGTAGTGGTTGTCGTGTGTGTGTGTGTGTGTGTGTGTGTGTGTGTGTGTGTCCTCTAGGTGGCATTTGGCAGTGCCTGGAGACATTTCTCTTTGACATTGGGGGAAGGCAGAGCTACTGCATTTTGTGGGAGGAGACCAAGGATATTGATAATCATCCTTTCATGTGCAGGACAGCTTCCTACAACAAAGAATTATCTAGTCCAAATGTCAATGGTTCTGAGGTTGAAAACCCTTGACATAAGTGATGGAACATTCATACACTGGGAAACTTAAATCTATGAAAGATGAGGCTGTATATTTCTATTTATTGAAATAGAAAGATAGCTATGAAATACAGGGGAGAAAAAGTGTCTGATTATAAATCAGATGTAGCAAAACAAATTTAGACTAAGTAGTGATTGAAAAAGTTAAGGTATCTGGTTGTAGCCAAATATTTATTGTCTCCAAAATTGCTTTACATGGTGTATCATCTTTGTAAAGTAATTATTAACTACCAAGTATTTGTGAATAGTCATCTTAGAAAGGTTGTCTCTTTTAATGATTCTATTTCTGGAGTGCCTAGTCTATACCAAGTGTTGGTTTACTGCACTTCTCTAATAAAAAATAGCCTTTTGCTAATACCAAAGCAATGCACATAAATTATACAAAATTAGAAAACATGGGTGAGTGAAAACATCTAAAAATTAAGACATTCTCACACTCACAGGACTCCATTTTGCAGAACATTGGCGCATATCTTTCCAGCTCTTTCCCTGTGTATGCATTGTGTATATATATATTACATATTATATATGTAATATATAATAAGTGAAATCAAGGTGTTTTGCAGTGTGCTTCTTTTACATTTCATTTCATTTTACATCTTTCTGGTATAATGCAGAATCATCCAGCATCTAGACCAATCTCATTTACAGCTGGCTTATCAGAAAGAGAGAGAGAGAGACAGCATTTAAAGCAACTGTTTTTAAAAAATGGTGATTAAAGGGGAAGAATCAAGCAGCTATTCTATCTCTCCACTAGGAACTGAATTTTAAGGTAACTAGAAAGCTCCAGGTAAACAGAAAATTCCATTTAATTTGTGTGCCTTTTGAGTCCTATTAAGACTCAAATCTTGGACACATTAGTAACTTATGGCTGGTTAGGAGTTGGATGCTGACCATTTGTTAGCAAGTAGCCAGGAATAACTCACTTCCTGGGAGACAGAGTTGGAAGTCTAGGAAGTATGGCAAAGTCACCTTCTGCAGACCCAGATGGTTCATTTCCTACTTGGCCAACAGCTCACAAACAATTCATGTTTAAGTGTTAGTTTTGCTCCATCTTCAGATTAAAGCATTTGAGAGAGGCTGTGGGTTAGAACCATTGATCGGAAGCAACAGAAACTATTTCTGATGAACAGAATTTATCAGAGGGTCTGGGAAGTTCATAGAAAACTGAACAGACAGGTCGCATAGGAGCTGTCTGCCCCAGTCAATGGACACCTTGTCCCAGAGGCAGTTGGCACCTCTGTTGTGGCTTATCTGCTCATGTTTGGCATCCACAACAGAACACTGGTCATGTGAAGGAAACTTCAGTGGACCTCGGTTCTTTCTGTCACTCTACTTAGATTTGGATTCCCAGGCTGGAATATCTGATTGGCCATGCTTAGGTCATTAACATCCCACCCTTCCTGGTGGTCACAGCATGGGAAATGTATTTGATGGACTCAGAGCAGCCAGTGTCAGCCACCCTAGAGCCCAGTACTTAGAATATCCAGCATATGACTGGATGCCCTTAATGTTACGATGAATTCACATTATCCTCCTCACCTTTTGGCCTTGTTTTTGTTGTCTTGGTCATATAGAAAGGAGGCTGAATCTCAAAGAAAATGAGCCAACTGCCCAGACCCTTCAGCATTCACTGACTGGATTTGAATCCAGATCTTTGGAACTCTTCCCATCACACTGCAAAATGGTGGTGTCCATGGCCAGGGAATCAAAGGGTGTAGAAGGTTTGCCACAGATCTGCTCTTGAGTCCTGGGCCAAGCTCAGAGGCTGAAGACTGTAGCTGTTCCTGCACTGCTGCTGAGGGGAGTTGTTTTTGATATCTAGCCTTGTATGAATTATATTCCTTCATGTTCTTAAAAAAATGTAGAATTTGGGAAAAAGTGTTGTAGGGAAAATACACGGTATTTTTTCATCAGATATAGTCGACTTGGGCATCCTACTAGTGAGAATGCAGGACTGGATCTGGAGTTTTCCCTTTATAATTCTATTTGCAAAGTAATTTTTCGGGAAAATTATGTATTATGCTGTCTCAAAAAGTAGAGGGTAACATTTTTGTGTGACGAAGCTATTTCCAACCCCAGATAGTCAAGGAAGGAAGTGAAATGTTGCACCCACAAATGAGACCCGTGCTAAAAACAGGTGGATTTGGGGAGCCTGATTCTGTCTGTGAGAGTTTGTGGGTGGCTGATGTCTGCTATGTCACTCAACTCTAGGAGCCGGGAGCATTTCGGACTGGATTGAAAATGATTTGGGGACTCAGCTCACCCTAGTAAAGAGATGGGAGATCTAAGGTGAGTCTTTCCCCTCCCTGGAACTTGTTTCTCCACTTGCAAAGTGAAACTATTTGGATCTATTCTTCCATAATAGGGAGGCTGTTGCAATTGCCGGAGGTGAGGGGTAATGACTTCAAGTGTAGTGGGAAAAGAGGCACCTGATCAGCCTGGGGAGTGGGTGTGAGGGTGCCTAGAGCACAAAGCATGGAGCTTGGCAGCAGCATGCTCCTTGCTACATAAGGGAAAAGTGTAAGGAAATGTTTTTCAACTCACCTCTATGGACAGACAGAACTTGGCAACCTCTCCTGGCAGCAGTCATGTTTAAATATTGCACAGCCTGCCCTCACCCTCACTGAGCTCTCTCCTGACACACTGCAGGGTGCAGGGCACATATGAGGGTGCTGCTTCTCCTGACCCAGGAGTCAGCTCAGGAAGCTCAAATACTAATGCTTTTTGCATCTTTTCTCTCTTCTGTCCAGCTCAGCACACAGAGGTTTGTTCCCTTTGTTCACTTGCAACTAGACTTCGGGATCAAGATAAAAGGCAGGTACTCAAGTAAAGCAAAAAAGAATCAAACATATAAATATTAAAACAGAAACACTAAACTTGCTAGAAGACAGGATAGGTAGAATGTTGAAGAAGTAGATGTAGGCTAAGACTCTAAGAACAAAGCCTTGATTGCACAGGAAATATTACAACTGGGATCTCATCTTATTAAAAAGCTTTTGCACAGCAAAAGAAACCACTGTATGTACTATAATTGGAAAACCCGCAGAGTTGGGAAAAAGATTTTGCTCCTGCTACTCAAAAGACTAATATCTAGAGTATATAAAGAACTCAAAAAATCAGATACCCTAAATTTAAAGATCCCACCCAAAAACGAGCATCTGAAATGAATAGACGCTTCTCAGATGAAGAGGTACAAACAACAAATAAATATATGAAAACATGTTCAACATCACTGGTTATTCAAGAGATGCAAGTTAAAGCAACACTGACAGAAAAGATGGTTACTCTCAAGAAATCAACCAATAACAAGTGTTGGCAGAGATATCGGGAAAAAGGAACTCTTCTCCACTATTGGTGGAGGTATAGATTGCTGCAATCACTAGGAAAGTCAGTGTGGAGATTCCTCAAAAAACTAAAATTAGAGGTTTCATTTGCCCCAACTACTCTCCTTCTTTATGTCTTACTAAAAACTCTTGGAAACAGCCCAAGTACCCATCAACAGATGAATGCATAGGGAAGTTGTGTGGTGTTTTTATACAACAGAATACCACTCCTTTGTAAATAAGGATAAACTTGAGACATTTCTAGGTAAATAGATGCACTATGAGACCATACTCTTAGGTAAAATAAATCACATACATGTTTAAATATTGCATGTTTCTGTGGTGTGAGAAACCAAACGTGTAAATAAGGTCCAAAGTGTATAACAGATATTGGGAAATAGGAAGAAAATGTTCAGATGGAAAAAGGAGCAAGGGATGGCAGAAGGGCAAAGTAAGGAAGAGGAAGAAAGAGAATAGAAGGAAAAAATGGAAACAAAGCATTTGCAAATCAGGGAGGGAAGAGGAGTTGAAAACAAGGAGGGAACCGGGGGGAAAAGAAGAATCAGGATGTATTATGAACAAGTACAAATTCCCTGTGATGAATATGATCATTATGTATACCCAAATGTACCAATAAAATTACTCTTAAAACGAGACAAAAGGCATGTGATAGCAGGAGACGCACCTACAGGTAATGTTTTCCCTTCTTTGTCTGAAGTATTTTGATGGAAGACTGCACCTGTAAAACACACTTGATCAGAAATGCAGTCTTGTACCAAGTGTGTGGGGGACTCTGGCAAACATCTTGTCCTCCCCGGGCCTCAGTTTCTGCATCAATAATATGAGAATAAACACAGTACCATCCACTTACATTTCTGATAGGGCATGGTACTTGACATTGGCATGTGATTGCTTCATAACACAAGTGTGTCTGTATTTAAGAGAGAGTAAGAGTTATTTAAAACTAAAACTGGCTTTAGCATTTGCTGCCTTTTAAGGGCAAAGGCAAGGGGTAGGCAGAAATACCTGCATCAGTGGGCACATAAATCTCTGTACTGCTCCCCTTTTTTCACGGAGTAGTCTGGGGCTGGAGTAGGGCCAGGACAATGGGAATTTCAGTCTCTTCCAGGTCTTCTGAGCCACTCAAGACCTGAAGAATGTGGGTCAGCGATTAGCAGACACTTTGGGAGTCTGTGTGTGTGACAGTATATGTCTGGAGCCAAGTAGGAAATGGGGAGCTCTGCTATTGCTACGATAAAAGGTATAAAGTAGCTGGAAAGAGAAAGGTGACACAGTGATGAGGGCTTTCACCTGTAACGGAAGGTACAGAGAGAAATTTCCAAAACAGATGATCCAAAGAGCCAGAGAATAGGAATGGTTGACACTCAGGTTCGGGGTGTGTGTGGTTATGATGTGTGTCTCTGCAAAGGGTGCTTCGCGCAAAGTAAAGGAAATCACAGAAAAGAGCCTGAGTTTCATGCTGGAATGGAATGGGAAGGAAACAAAAATTATTGCAGATGACATACAAATGAGGCCAAGATTTGCTGATGGTGAGTAGGGGAGGTGGCCCCAAGGGCTTGCAGGATGCTCGCAGGGAGACCTTGGACTTCCCACAGGAGGAAAGTCGGAGACTCAAGCCAGTTTTATTTAAATCTGACAGAGTGACATCAGGCAAAAGGCGGGTTGTATATTCATGGCTGAGAAACTACATGGTAGAAGATGATGAAGAGCAAGTTTGGATGATTGCCACTGGAAGAAGGAAACATTTACTATTTTAAAATATTAAAAATATCTCACTGGATGAGAGCGGATGGTAGCAGCCATCACAGATGTTTGTAAATGTTCTGTGCCTTTCTCCTTCCAAGTACTGGGAAAGTTGCACCCCCTGCCTGTTTGAAGTTAGACATAGTCACAGACAAGGCTTGATTCATAGATGTGACAGTGACATGTTTCTTCCTGTGTGTGCCTTGAGATGCTTTCTTTTTCCTCTGTCTTGCTAACTTCCAAGAATTTGGAGTGAGCCAGCTCTGTTATCCTGAATTCTCAGTGATAAAAGCATCAATAAACATGTTCCACACATGAGATAGACAGATGTGCTCACTTGTTCACAGGTGCAGCTAAGGCTTTTCTCTATCCAGACACAAAGCCTGAAACAGTTCACCAAGTGAAGGAGAAAGGATCTGGATGGAATCTAGAGACAGAGGAAGGGTGTGAGTCACCTGCACTCTCTCATCCTACCAGAGTCACTGTTATTTCCATGGAAACAAATGCATAGGGGTGGAGAGGAGGTCAGAGGCTTCTTCCCAAGAATGTGCTTGTCTCTCCACAATCTGAAGTGACCAACTTGGTGTGCAGGAAAGCAGGGAAGGGTGGTGCACCTTAAGACACCCAAGGTTTATCCACTTGTATATCCTGTCTAAATTTAGGCCAACCAAAGATGTGATTGCTTCCTTAATGGAAGAAATCAGCACTGATTTATGGAACACTCACTGTCACTCCAATGACAACCATTATTTCTATTTTGTTGTCATGTAATCAAAGCATAATATGGTTCTTATTTTAGTTCATTGCGGGGACAAGATATCCGGTATTCAAAAGTTAAAGGAGGAAAGGTTAGTTTTAGCTCACAATTTGTACAGGTTTCTGTCCATTACCAGCTGTTTCCAAGACTGGTTGGCATGGCAGGGGAGCATTGTAGGAGAGAAACAGTCCATGGTATAGCAGGCAGGAAGCAGCAAAGCAGAGAAGCTTTTTGAACTTTTATCCCACCCAGGCTGCAAGCCTATTGGGTGGTATCACCCACACCCATGATAGGTCCTCCCACCCACACCATCACTATGCTAAATTAATGAGTGGACTATCATACACCCTTAATCCCAGGATCATTACCCTAGACCTAGCCAGCTCTGAAAAACCCCACCTATGAGCACATACGGTTTTGGAGAGACATCTAGATCTAAGCCATAACGGTGTTCTTTATCACATGCTTTCTTGAGGGCCTGGTGATATATCTCAGTGGTAGGTGGACTGCTTAGTATGTGGAGGGACCTGGACTTGGTCCTTGCACTGAAAATATAAATGCTGTGTTGACCCAGTCATGGCCGGGTATCAGATAACTAGAGACAGCTTGTGTGACTTAGAGCCCACAAAATTGCTCATATTAGTCAATTTGCAGAGAGTCTGCAAACCTTAGCTAACATCACCTCACTTGTACAAAAGCCACTTCTACTTCTCCAGCCTGCTGCTAACCTGTACCCAGGTACAACCTCCTGTGGTGCCACAGGCAGCCTTCTCTAATTTGGAGCTGTAAGTTACAGAGTTCTGCCTTTCATCTACATGTCATTGTGCTGTGTTCTGCCACCAAAAGAACCTTTAAATCATATACTACACAAGGAGGGCAATCATTTCCCTAAAGACTGAAATAGAGCAGCCTATACATTAACTATTCAACTCTAACACCCACAGCCTATACTGACAACCTACTGTTTGTGTTCCATCTCAGATGATGCTTGTTACACAAAATAGCTTGGTGGAGGTCACATAATGATAGACTTAATAACTCCATTATCATAATGGTGCTATAAAACAGTTCCAAACTTGAGTAATAGTATTTGACATCCCATTATCAAACACTCAGCACCCACTTTCAAATATAGCCCAAGATACAGAAAATAAATTGTTAAGAATTCCACAAAATTAAAGTTCTCAGATGACTCCTGTCAGTGTTCACTTTGCTGTCTCAACTAAGGTGATCTCACTCCTGTGCCTACTAGAGATTAAGTCGCTTCTACAGCCAATCTAGTGTAGCTTCTTCAAGATGTCAAAGTAGAATTTGTCCCAAGTTGGGTGCTTCATTTTTTATAGAAAGAAGAGTTAACGGGACACATAAGATTAGCACAGCACTGTTACACGCTCAACAGATTCAGAACTACCAGAAACAGAGGGATCCCCCAATGCAGGCATCCCAACAGAAGCTTGTTATTTGCATTATTGCTGTTGAATGTAGTTTCCTTTCAGTGGTGTCCAAGAAAGGGTAGGAGAAAATGTCTTGGTATTAGCATCATTGTGATGCCAACCTCAGTCTCTGCCAATTTTCCAGTGTCATGAGAACCAAACCCAACTGGAAAAATCTCCACCAAGAGGCTACGAAGAGCACTTATTTTCCCAGCACAGTGGAGCCCTCTCTGTGTGATTCCCATACTTACCATGTCTGCAATGTCAGTGGCTTCCTCCAGCAAATGCCCCAGATTGTCAAGCTGAACTCCCCTCTGGGAGTAGGAGGATGTGTGGGGCTTCCCAGAAGTGCCCTTGAGTTAAGAATCCACAAAGCATCTCTCTCAATGAAGTGATGGGCAGGACAGAGTTGGCTCAGGAACACCCCAGGTTCCTTGCTGCTTGAGTGGGAAAAATCCCAGTGGTACTCCGCCAGCCCCAAACAGGACTGAGTTTCAGCTGCCCAAGCAACATCTTGTTGACTTTTCTTCCCTGCCCTTCTTTTTCACTCCTCTACTAGTACTTCTTGGACCATCTCCTAAATAAACTACTTCTATCAAAATCCTCACCTCAGGCTCTACTTGTGGGAAATACCTATTTTAGACTCCATACCTCTGGGAAAAAATCTATTGGTGCATATTCATGTCTCTCATAGTTTGATTTTCTATACACTTAAAATTTTAAATTTATCTTCTCAACATAGCCAATCACCAGGAATTGATTAAAGTATGGCTTTTAATTTTTTATTGATATAAAAGTTCTTCACGTCCAGATTCCCTCTGAAGTTTGTGCTCCTGGAACCCAGAGGTAACCTGAGTTCAGACGGAGCCAGTATCTCAAGCGAGCAGCCATTCCGAGCTCTGTGGAGGCCACCTGGAGGAGAGGAGGTCCTCTTGTCCCTATGCTTGCTTCAGCTGGAGCAGCTCTCTCTGAGATTCCGGATCTGGAATTTCAGGGAACACATGGACTCCTGAGGCATGAGGGACCTGGTGAGACCCCGTGCTCTGTCATCTGCTTTCTCCCAGAGCCTTGAATGTGTGCCACTTGGATGGCAGCTGTAAACCTTTCCACTGTCATTTGGCTCTGCAGGATGGCAGTACTCCAGTGCCCATGTCCCTCCATCTTTTATGAGGCCATCTTGGGTAAGTTGTGTGCCATTTAATTTTTTAAACAATTTTATTTTTTAAAAAATTAAGGGCTGGGGATTTAGCTCAGCAGCATAAGTGCCTGCTTTGTAAGTTCATGGTTGTGAGTTCGAGCCCCAGTAGCAAAAAAAAAAAAAAATTACTACTATACATTTATAATACAAATAAATATATCTATTGTTGGGGACTGGTATACATACATATCGCATCTTGACCCTTTTTGTATCCCTCTCTCCTTCCTCATCTCCAGAACCCCTTCCCATCACCATAAAATATTTCCTTTTCCTATCATTTTAAATTTTTTCTTTAAATTATTTAAACTTTGGGTTTCTCTTATAAAAGAAACTACATAATATTTAACCTTAGTGTCTGATCTATTTCACTTAACATTCTGGTCTCTTGATGCATCTATTTTCCTAAAAATGACCCTAACTCATCCTCCTTTATGACTGAGTATACTCCATTGTGTATATGTACCACCTTGCCTTCCTCTGTGGGAGCCTGAGTGAAGGAAGAAATGATCCTAATTGTCCCAAATGTCTCTTTGGGAAAACCAGGACCACTCTTAGTGTCCCACAGTGTTGGTGACAGCAGAAATAAGCAGGGTTACTTGGGAAAGGCTCTGAGAGTTAGGACTGAGGCTTAGTACACTGACACTCGCTGTTCCACCCTTGGGGGCATATTCAAGTGAATTGACCCATGATCTGAAAGGCAACACACACACACACACACACACACACACACACACACACATCCATCACAACAGCTGGAGGCCACCTTGAGTCCGTGGCAGGGAAAATGGATGGGCACCATTCAGTGGACACTCCCTGAAGATTGCTACACAGCTCTCAGAGCAGAGAGTCTGAGCTATGGAAGAGGAGCATTCAAAACCATGTTGAATGAAGGAGAGAAAAATAGTACAAGACCAACTTCACAATACCATTTACATGAATTAAAAGCACAAATATAAAAGAATAACATTTCATCTTTACAAAGATGTACACATGCACACTCCAGCATTCTAGTGTGGGAGACTGTGGGGATCAGAGACCAAAGGGAAATGACAAGAGATGGGCTTTGTACAATCTGCTGGCAAAAGTGGCCTTGCACCTAGTACTGGAGAAAACTCAGCCCTGGGTTCCTGAGGTTAAGAAACACCCTGACTTTGACCACGGGCCCGTTACATCCTTCAGCTTTTGCCCTTCCCCTTCCTGCCTGTTACTACTTGTATGTCTTTCTTCTGTCTCCCTTTCTCACTGCCTCACACTGCTGTGCCTCTTCAGCCTGGTTGCCATGCCCTTCCTCCTGCAGACTGCTTTTCTGAAAATCACCAGTGACTTTCACATGGCCAGATTCATTGGGAAGTTTTATTTACATTCATATTCATTTTTAAAGCTAAGATGAAGTTAACCCATCATTTTAGTATAGAGTTCTGTTTTGATAAATGCATGGAGTCATGCAGTCACCATCAGTCAAGATATGAAGTAGTTCTACTGTCCTCAAAACAGTCTCATGAATACAAAAGAATCATTCTCTTCTCCAATTCTCAAAGTTGGAAACAGCTTCTCTGCTTTTTATCACTATAATTTTGGTTTTCTGGGGATGGTGCAGCATAGCTTAGATGCCTTTTGTCCCCCATGTCTTAAAGGCTTGGTCCCCAAGATGGTGCTACTGGGAGGTGGTGGGACCTTCAGAGGTGCTTCATGGAGATACTTAGATCACTGGGTCAGGCACTCAAAGGGATGGTGGGCCTCCACCTTTCTTCATGGTCTTCACCTCCTGGCTAATGTGTTGAACAGTTTAGTGCCCTTTCTTATTAGGTAATCCAAAGAATTCCTAGAAACTTTTCTTATTGAGCACAAACTTTTATCCCAATGACAGAGCTCTATCACATGACTAGTGCTAGCTGCAAGGGAGTCTTGGAAATTGAGTGCTTCATTAGAGAAAGACATGGGAAAACAGTGTTGAGAATGGGTGCTCCATGAGGTTAGCCACATCATCTCCTTATCAACCTCTTTTAAAGAATCTTGTAGTTTGGCATTTATGCAGTGAAAATGAAGTTTAAATTTCCTTGCTATCTCTCTAATATCATCATCATCACCCCACTGTGGCCTTTTTTCTAGTTCTTGTTTGACTCACTCAAGTCTTTTCTTTCACCTATTAAGGGGAGGGTGTTATTTCTCCCAGTTCTTCACTTTGTTTCTATGGTAAGTGGCCACCCTTACCCTCTGCATAGCCTCTCTATGGACAAGATAGGGCATCATTTCTGACTCTGGTACCTTGAGATTTGGCTGATACAGTTAACAGACTTGATGCTGGGGCTGTAAACATACACAGGAAGTTGGTCTTGACCTTTCCCACTTTTGTCATCTGCCATGACAGAGCATGTCCCTGGAGCTGTTTGGCTCTGAATGACACTCTTGGAGCAAACCCAAGACCAACCTGTAGCTTGGAGCCAGCACAGCAGAGCCCAGCCAAGATTACTCGGACTCCTGCCAAAGCCCAGACCTGGGAGGGAGAGAAGTAAGTCTTGTCAGTTACTGAGATTTTGCTTGATTGCTATGCAGTATGAATGCAGCAAAACTGAACATAATCTGAATTATTATCCCCTACTCCTGATTTTATTAACTTTATTCATTTTTAGGATCTCAAATGAAATAGCATTTTCTAAGAGAGCATTTTCCTTAGCACACCAGTATAACTTGCAATTTTAGTTCTATTTTCAAGTTCATTTGTTATAAATCCACCTTCTACTATAGACTGTTAGTGCTCTCAGACTAAACTCGTATCTTATTTTTACTGCATATGTCAGCACCAAACTTACACATAGTAAGTGATCAATAAATGTTATGTAATGTTTATTGAATAAATGCCTCCAATTGAAGGAATGCTTTTCAACTATTGAAAATTTTGTTTTTAAAGAATCTCCAATGGTATATAACCTACAGATGTATCATTGCATCTGTAGTCCGAGCTGTGTGTATGAATGTGAATGTGTTCATAGAAAAATGCTCAAAGGAAGTACCAAATTATTAACCAGCCTATCTCTGTACAGAGGCATTATACCTTGTTTAATGTTTTATAGTTTTTTGTGTTTTACTTATATCTCCCAATATATTGATCACATATTACTTTTATAATCAGAAAACACAAAAAAGATATTAAAATGGGAGGGAAAATGAAGCCTTCATTATACTTTTCCTGGAAATATGATGAGAAAATTCTGAAGGACATCAGAAATCAGAACAAAGCCTGGGCAGCTGGCCAGAACTTTCTGAGTTGGAAATAGCTCCTCCTGGGTTTCTCTGTTCTCAGGGCTCCCCAGGGTCCCTTCCCTGCCTTTGGGAAGGGTGTGTGACAAATACAAGAAGGATCAGGGTTGTGAGGAAGGAGTGGTCCCCAGGGCTGGGCTGACTGGAAGGACAGAGCTGAGTGAGACCAGTTAGGTGGGAACACCAGGCCATCTGGAAGGGTACCGCATGAGCAGCCCCAGCCAAACGCACAAAGGGATGGCACACGGAGATTAGTCCCCCAATGACCATGACCTTGGAGGAATTGAGCACCCTGATGGACTGTTTGAATGTCACAGGCCAGAGGTTTTCATGCTAGACACCTTGGTCCCAGAGTTCCTAGTGTTGTCTTTTCAGGGATAAGAAAAGTCAAGGAGGAGGATGGAAAGGCCTCCATGTCTCCTGAGCTCAACCCAACCAGGTTCTCTGTTACCTACAAGAGACCACTTGGGGACAAAGCATTCTACTGCTGAAAGGGGAGGGTGACAAGATGCTTAAAGTCAATGCTGATGATGGGAACACCAGGGACTTTTGAAGAAGACAGTTTCCAATTTAGCATGAAGCTGTCATGTGTCTGGTGGGCCAGGCAGCAAAGACAGGGGCAGACTTGAGACTGGTGGCTGCAGTTGGTGAATAGTGTCCTAATAATAGTAATAGTCACTGAGCCAGGCACTGCTTCAAGTGCTTTGCCTGTATGAACGCATTTGCCTGTATAAACTCTTTGCCTGTTTTTCCTCACCAGGTCCAGTGAGGTAGGTACTATTATAATCTCTGTTTTATAGCAAAGGGAACTAGGCACAGAGATGGTAAATAACTCAAGGAAAACTCCCACAGCCTGAGGGAGGAGAAGCCGGGATGTGAGCCCAGGCTGCTGACTCTAGGGCCTGGCCTTGCATTTGTGCCCGGGGGATACAGAAAATAAAAGTCCATCTGCTGAATAGATTGGTATGCACTTCCAACATCATGGTCACTGTCACACCACTTCTGGGCCTTTCATTACCGACTAGAGAATTCAGGCTCTTAGACTGACAAGCTCCCAGTGCATGAGGACAGATGGCTGGATATGGGGGGCTGGATCAAAACCACACCTGAATGCAGAGGCTGAAATCTGGGGAGAGAGGGACATTGAAGGACTCTTAAATCAGGAGGAGGTGGTGCCTAGTGGAGTGGGGGAAAGGCTGTGGTGATTGGGAACGGTGAAGATACCCCAGGGAGATATACGCAGAATCAATGATGTACTTACATGACTATAATTCTGGAGCAGCACGTCTGTGTGTTTATCCTGCATCAGAGTCAAAATCTGCATTTGCAAGCCCAAATCCTCAGGCCTCATCCCCAGAAAGTCTGAGAATTTCATTTGTAACCAGCTGCCCACTGATGCTGATGTGCCTGGCCCACCATCGCCCCCCTCAGGAGTCCCAGTTTCTGTCTCCCACACCACAGAGCCCTTCTGCACACACAGAAGCTTAAATTCACCTTAAACACTCCCCCATTATATTTTTGTGACATTAGTGTTCTGAGAAATACACACGAAAGCTTACTTCCTCTCGTGTCCACCTGGTGCCCTTTGCTTTAATCATCCAGCCTCCCTAGTAACTGTTGTACATCTGTGTCTTTATACAAATGATTCTGATAGTCTGCTATGCCTCCCCAGCCTACTTCCAAATTCAGCTAGTTTCTTTCTTCCTTAAAAATGTACCTTCTCTAAGCTGCTTCCTCTGGCCCCTCAGTCTTATTTGGTTGTGCCTAATGTGAACTCCATGGCACTTTCTCCCTACCTTTACCATACACAAGGGCATAGCATTGTGTCCTTATTTGTCTCTCTCCTCCACATACATCCATTGACTTGGTCTTCCAGCTTTTAGAACAACTGTTGCTCAACAATGGTAACTGCACAGTCAGTATCTGATGAATTAAGCTAAATGAATGAATAAAACACGTTTCCCTCCTTCACAGCTACTACAGCTCATGTGTCTTCCATGGGGCACTCCTTTTTTTTTTCTGTGCTGGGGATTGAGCCCAGGGCGTTTGTAGGGAGTTGCACTCTCAGCTGCTTTTTCATTTTTCATTTTGGACTAAGTCTTGCTGAATTGTGCAGGGTGAGCTAAAATGTGCAATCCTCCTGCCTTAGCCCAGCAGAGTGCTGGGATTTTAGGCATGTGCTGCCACACTTGGTTCCACAATTTACTCTTAATAACACATTCTAACCTCCTGAACAAGCATGGAGAGTGAGCTTCATCTCAGATTCCTGCTCCTATTGATGACCATGAGAAAGGATATCAAGGTTATATTGGCTCAGGAGAAAAGAACAAGCAATTGATTAATCTTAGAGCAAGAGTGTGGTGAGTGGAGGTCATAGTGCTATGTCTATGTCACTCCTACTCAAGAGTGCTCTGGTTCTCCTGTGGTTCCGTCCTTGCTAAGAGTAGGGTTTCATGTCTTAAAGTCAAGGTTGAAGATATGACCAAGCCCAGTCTTTTTCCAGGGGTTTTGAGAAAGCCACCTTGGGGTGCTGGGGTGGGCAGGGAAGGGTCTTGGGGAGGGCAGTTCCCAGCAAAGGGAATCCTCTGCCTCAGGATAACTTCTCAGACATGAAACTGACTCTTCTGATGGGATTCGGGCTGCTACAGGGGTCTATGCAGACCCGATGCAAAGTGACGAGTGTGTAACCAAACTTTCCTCTGTTGCTGGAGTTTCCCAGGGCTGAGAGCCTCAGATTGGCTATCCTGGCCCTAGGGAGAGTTCCCAGATCTTGGCACATTTTTGGACCAGGAGCAGTTTCCAAATAAAGACCTGCATATCCTGACTGGTTGTCAAATGGAATTAGTGACTTTGAGTTCAGCCTGTTCCTCACTAGAATTACCACATACAGGGAATGTTCTAGTATCAGAGGAAATGCCAAGGAGAGGGTAAGGACCAGAGACCTGAGTGTTGGGCTGGTGGGTGAGCAGACAGGGGGCCAGGGAACACCACTTGTAACTCATGTGTGATGTTCCTAACTAAATAGACCTGATTTTTATTTCCTTTAGGCCTTATTTACTTTAGTTAAATATTCAGCGTGAATCAGTTACTCTTGCTGGACAAATGATTTTCTACTTGTCTGACTGGGGTCCCAGCTTAATATACAACAGTGCACCCATTCACAGCCCCAGAGCAAATTTAAGACAGTGACTGTTTAGCCCAGACTCTGAGATGTGGGAAACATCCTTTTGGGTTTGAAGGTCTCTCCAACCAGATCTACCTCCATAGAATTCCTGTATCCCTTCACCCCAGTACTGCCTTTGTGGGTTCCCTGGCAAGGGCTTCAGCTAATTTCTTCTCTAGACTCAATTCTAAATAGTGTGTGCCTCAATATCCAGAGCATCAATGACGTGGCTTTGCTTTGTGTCTTTACATAAAGCTTTGATGTTAAAGGATATGAGCTAGTGAGAAACATAACTCAAATTCACACCAATAGAGTAGGGGTCACTGTGGGCCCTGGGATAGCACCAAGTGGAGGTAATTTTGTGAGTTTTCTCAGGGGAGAGATGTTACTAAAGAGTATTTCATGACTGTACATAACTGTGGAACTTATGTACATGTACATGACTGTACATGACTGTGGAACTTACTAAAGGGAATGGCCATTTGTCACTGAGGGAAGTTGAGGCTCCTGAAAGAGAACAATGCCGAGTACAGCAATAGTATGTTATCAGATTAAGTCTATGGCAAAATACATTTTAGAATTCTATATACCTTGCCCCATTTTGGGAGTCACAAGACAGGTCTGTCAAAGATGGTAAGATTTCTATGTCCTCATCTGACAGTTTAGCTTTATTTAATTTTTTCCTAACTACTTAAGTATTTAAGTAGATAGAAAGAGTCTTAAGGACAAGAATTATGGGCTTGAACCAATACACATCAGTATAGAACCCATACTCAGAAAATTCTGAGAAGCTCACCCCTGCTGTCCCTTGGAGTGTTGAAGATGTCCTCCTTTCCCAGCCAGATTCCCTCGGGGATGATGTGCTAAGACGTGGTCCCTTGCCCTATGCTGTCAAGGCCTTCTCCAGAGGACATCAGAATGAAAAGCCAGGGCTTGCCATTAAGGCCTATGAAATTTGAAAGAAAAGCTATTTCAGGAAAGAGACCAGTCAGGATGCCTGAAGACTAGTTACCATGGTGACAAGATAAGACTCTGTCATATTGAAAACTAATAGCATTTTTTCCCTATAAGAAAACCATTCAGGTAGG